TTTGTAAATTTTTATACCCTTTGGATCATAATTGCTCTTTATTTCATAAATTATGGTTTCATATTTTTAATTTTATAATTTCTGCATGCCATCTTACCAGATTTAAACTGATGATCTATAATCCGGAATCGCCAAAGTCCCGACGAGTCTGGATTAAAGACTTTTGACTGTATTTCAAATTTGTAATGAACATAACTAAAACTGAGATGGTCATTTTGAAAAAAGTAAAATGAAATTTATTTAATAATCTGTACAGGCAAAAGATCTTTTTTTACAGAATAATAATAACTATTCAAGTACTTTTGGAAAGTTTATAATGTGCATTACTCCATTGTCCAATGCGAATGGATCAACATTAAGTAAAGCTAATGGTCCATAAAAATATATTTTTCTCACTGAGGCAAACAATAGAACTTTTCTGCTTTTCTGAGAAATTTCACACAAACTTCATTGCCCTGTAGTTTTCTGATAATAAAATGAATCTTTATTACAGCAAAACAAATGCATTCTTCATTTGCATTACACCTATTTTCAAGCAAGATTTTGACACTTTCCTATGAAGCATGTGTTTTTTCCCATGTACGACATGTATAAAGCCTGTCTATCCAGCATTCAACTAAGTAGTTAGCTCAAGTAACCAAAATATTTCACTACTTTAGAAAAATTTTCCCCTAAAAATTTAATAAACGAGCAATTTCGAGAGCTCATAATACGGTTAATACATATACATGGTAACCAAACAGTCTGATTTAATGCTAATAATAAGCATGATGTTGTAACACAACCATAAGAAGTTCATTTTGGTGTAATGCATTCACGCTGGTGTCAATTTTCTTGTTTTTTGCCGTGAGATGGCGCTCGAATTCATCTGGCAGCATGGTTCTATTGCTTATTTAGACACAGTATATCTAACTTTTCACCCAGCAAAAAGTATGTGCTTTGTAAATTGGGAACTACTCTTATATATGCCCTCGCTTGGAGACAAATTTCTTTAGAGAAACTATATGGTGCCATATTACTATCTAAATTTTTAGGGAAGCACTTCCGCAGAGAACCCGGTAAATGTAAACATCGCCAACTTTGGCGATAATAGTTCAAACCTGGTAACCTAGCTAATTTATCCTATTCGCTTATGCGAAGGTTGTCGTTGTTCGCATTTGAAGATTCATATTATTTTTCTCTTATTTATTATTATTTTTTCTGAATTTTTTAACAACGAATAGATAGAAATATTTTCGCATAATTAAAGAAGTTTTCGTCGAAAGATGCCGGTTCTCGGGTCGTCAGTTCGGGATCAAAGGAAGAAATTATGGCGGGAGGGGTGAATACTAATTTGTAACATGGCTGTTAACGTTATGTTCTTAATTATTAACAGCTGTAAGCACGCAGAACCATGAGGTTTCCAACCCCTATAATAATTTTTAAATGTATAAAGTTCTAGTTTTATTAAAAATGCTACTGAAGAAAATTTGATTACAGTTGACGGTTATTTGTATTGTGAAATATATTATGAAAAAGGATACGTATTTGTTTCAACGTAAAATGCTTTAAGCTGTATGCAAGTAACTTGAAAAAGAAAAATACTTAAAACTATGTAAAATGGATATATTAAAGGTCATGCATTCATTAATTTATTACATGGGCATGGCTCTTACCGAAATACATCAATCAACAGGCAAAGTACTTAATAGTGAAAAAAGACATTTGTAATAGAAATATTAGTATTCTATATGAATTAGAGAAAATACATATAAGAATACTAATTGTTATTTTTTAAATGAATTTTTACTTCCCGTTGTGTTTAACACATTGTTTTCTGTGCTAACTTGAATTTAATAGAAATTTATTTTCGTATATCACGTTTAACCTGTTAGTTTTATATCTACATACTTATTATCTGTGAATTTTTACTACCATTGTCTGCTAACTTGAATTTACATCACTAAAAACCACGTTTACAAAATATCACGCTTACGGCTCGGCTCATCCTTGGCGAGTAAAACTGCAACGGCGCCAAAAGGGTTCTTTCTCGAAGCGCCAATGGGTTCTCTGCGGATGAAAACCCATTTTTGGTTTACATTTCGAACCTTAAGCTTAAATGTCTCCAAAAACGTGGTTTTTCACACACGCAAAAAAACTAAGCACCTCGCTTTAATAAATTAACGTAACAACAATAAATTTCAAAGAACACCATGTACACAGCATTCTGTTTAAACTTTAAAAAAAAATCTACGTTTTGCACACTAATCAGCAAAATAAACTAAAATAAATTTCAATCAATTAAAAAAACAACAAAGTGGACAGAAATTCATACTAAACAATGAACATGACATTCTACAAAATAAAATAGAATGCACTTACCATGAATGAATGCTTCTTCGAACAGCAGAAATACCAATTTCAAACATCACCAAAACAATTTCACCACACATTTGTTAAAAGCATCTTCTCCCATTTCAGAACAATCATGGAAAAATATATAAAGCACAAACTAAAATTTAAAATCACATTTCCGATTATATAAGTAGCCAATGTAGCTTTAACATGCCGCCACGTAAACTCTATCATATTTATACGACAGCCAGACTCACTATCCACAAAATTGGTACTATCTTTCACAAATAAATGTTCAAAACCTTCTTCTTCGAAATACTTGTAGAATTTCCAGCCACCCGAAAAATAGCTGTACCAGGCACGTGACTAAAATTTTGCCAATAGTAAATTCCAAGTTTCCACGTAAAAAGGGTTGCCATAGAAACCAACATCACCCCCAAAACAAACCATCGCAGAACACGCAATCATGCCAAAAACCAGTGCACAACACATATCGCCACATTTGGCAACCTGAAGGCGCATATGAGAGTAGTACCGTAGCATTTTTTCTTTATTAATTTCTACCCATAAAAATAACATTACATGGATACGGAAATAAGCGATTCATCTGATGAATCTGTAAATGGAAGCAAGAGAAATACATCCAGATGAAAAATAATCTCTGCCTCTTCAGATGGCGATTTTGCAACAGTATGCAGCATCTGATCGAATATTTGATGACCCACCAGCGATGCACACCGCTTGATGGGAGACTTAAGTATGACCCACCAGTCAATTAATTACTTATTTCAATTATTAATTACTAGCTGGATGCATGAAATTTCATTAGCTGGATTCATTAAAATTATAAATATTATTATAACTGTTCTAGGTAGCTGCTTGCGCAAGCTAGTTTTATAAAAATTCAACTAGGAATTTAAGGGGGGGGGTGAATTCTAATAAATTCCAAATTAAATCTTTGAAATTAGGCTTGCATCCAAATCACTAGAAAACTACCAAATTTGAGGTAATCAAGCAACGAAGATAAAACTTCAGTTAATTAGATAAATTCAGACAGATAACTTTTTCTCCTCTTCCTCTGGTTCAGCCGATTAGATTACTTTAAACAACTCCATAATTGTATGGAAGATACAATTGCCAATAGAAAAAAGTTTTATTGTATGCTTAAACAAACTGATTTTTGTCAATATTTCTGCAAATAATGCAGTATGTTTGAGAGAGAAGCTTTAATGGTTTCCCAAATCTTTATTTTGAACTAACCATTTTAGCAAAATTTCTGATGATTACTGTTTTTATAATACACAAATTAAAACCTAACCTACAAAATTCAAATGACCTTTATTATCGTTAAGTAGGATGACAAGATTCGGAAATTGTGCAGGGTCTAAGAAAACTTTCCTTCAAGCAAATGAATAATTTACTATTTTGATTAGAATAGTATCATAAGATTATAATTTGCGCGTTTATTGTTTTGTTTGCGCGTTCATTGTTAAGATTTTATTTGCATCTGCAAAACCTTGCCTATTTAAACAAATACTAAATTTTAAGCTCGATATTTTACATGGTCCATTTAAGAGCTTCCACTATGCCTAGACAAACCGCATACTTAAAGGTAAATAATTTCTTGTATTTTCAGTTTTATGTATGTCTGACATCAATTCTTAAAATTGAAATGTGACCAATCATCTTCGAAAATCAATGGATACCAACGTTTCATATACAGATTATCATATTTTAAGAGAATAATTAATTTATAGTGCTAATGATCGTATGAAATTAACTGGAAAATCTTTGAATGAAATTATTTAAACAAATACAGTAGTCATTCTTTGCAATTCAGGACTAAAATGAATACTAAAAATTTGGTTATACTCCAATTATTAAATTATGAAACAAATACTTAAGTTACAATAACACGATAAGTATAAAAAGTTACTATTTTTTTTACAAATATATATATATATATATTTTTTTTTTTAAAACAAAACACTTACCCTTCCGTATATTCTGCTTGTAGCAATCCTAAATATGCTTCCCACTTATTACCAATAACCTTTCCGCAGGTAAAACAACGAATAGGTATAATCATTATGGTAGATGCGAGTTGAAAAAAAGAGCAAGTTGGCTTAGGAACAGAAAATATGTCGCTGACAATATTGCGAACAGATGATATAAAAAAGTAAAGTAAATACGCAATAAACACACTCGACCAGAATTACATGCTTCTAATTAATGTTGCCAAATTTTAAGGAATTTCTTTGCTAAAATTTGACAAAGAACTTCCAAGTAGAGAATAAAAATCCCTCTGAAAAGGTGAAAAAGTCTTTTATACCAAAAAATATTCCAACTTAGATACAGAAATATTAATCCATGTATTACGATGTCTACGATTAAATGCATATCTTTTCTTGATAGTTGAGAATCTATCTTGTTTCTGAAAAATGGTTGTTTTTAAAAATTCATTAATCTGTTCAATCCTGAAAGTAGAGTAATTTTCTTTCCATCTTTTTTTTAAATTTTTATTTTTAATAAATTTTAAATTATAGTGTTATGCAAAACAGGCTGCATATTTTGAAATATTGAGAAAAGTATTCTGGTTGGAGGGAAATTTATAGGGGAAAGGAATTTAGCTGTAAGATAGTGGCAACAGCGTTTGGTTTCTCGATTTGTGATGCACGCTGAGAATTCAGGATTTTGCATCATTCGTGGTAGCCGACTGATGGGAACAGTGTATGTTTTTGAACGTTAGAACTAAAGTACTGTTTTATAATGGCTGGAGATAAATTTCTGACTTCTCAAATAAGTAGAAATGAAGTTATAGGTTTAGTTTTCCGTTTGACACTGTTTGGAGCACTTACATATTTTGGAATTCGCTGGGTAGTGAAAGCAATCGACCCAACTAGAAAACAGAAACTTGAAGCCCAAAAAAGGGTAATAGAATTTTAACTATTTAATGAATAAAAAAAAAAAAAATTGTCGTAACATATGTGACTAGCAATGTTCATGTAGCCTGAGTTGGTAAATATTAATTTATTACGCAATTAATTATATAAAAGTTTTCAAACCTAGTAATATGATGAAATCTGCAGTATTCTTTCATTCACATAGACGTTTTGGTTTAATCCTAGTATCCGGTGCACAAGGGGCGACTTTATGATGAGCAGTAAACGGGACATATACGATGAGTAGTTAAACGGGTCATTTTGGTGTTGGCGATAATTTTCAAAATCGCGCCAAGGCTGCACCGTATACTAGGATTTTACCGACATTTTCAATAAGATTTGTTTGAATAGTGTAGAATTTTGATAAAATAATAGGAGAGTCCACACCCTTGGCAACAAACTGGGAAAGTGCAAAATCACCAATTGCTTCGTGCTTTCTCAAAATCGCCAACTTGAAAATAACAAGTCAAAGAATTGCAGAAACTCGGTATCCATGTACACATTGACTTATTTTCACTTCAAAAAAATCTCAGAATTGCACGAAATTGGCACTGCACATTGCCTTGACTTTGTTCGTGTACACATCCATGTGTGCCATATAAGTGGGGCGCGTCAAAGGTGTGGGCTCTGCTAGGATACAATGATAATTTTTTATGCAATTTGAATTCAGTATAATGTGAATGAAAATGATGTGTACCCCACTGATGGCCCTGACAGTTGAATTCTTATTTCATTTTGTCACACATATTTATTAAATTTTTCTGAGTGAACTACTATATGCGTACCTCTCGTAGTCAAATCATTAATAAATCAGACCAATTGTTGCTTCATGTACCCATAAATCGGTACTTTTCTGTTATTGGGACCGGAATCGGTAATGTATATATGTGTACATGCATGTATGTATATAAATACATAAAGAAACATATAAGAGCTCAGTAATTGAAAGAATGAGTAAGAGCTCAGTAATGAGCTAAGTCAATTGAAATAATCGAATGTAAAAATCTGTTCTGAAAAACTTGTAAGTTAAATACCACTCCTTCTCTGCTCACTAAAAAACTACAACAAACACTTAAAAACATTTAATTATATTTACAAAATCACTTCTAATAAATGTCACTTAAGTTATATTGGGCAGACCAAGAACAAAATTAACATTAGAATCAATAACCACCAAGCTCACACTAAAAAATTTAAAAGTCAGCCTCATAAGCAAAAGATAGATACGAATAACAATACTGCGATTCTTGAACATTTTCAATTCATACACGGCTCTTCCATTACAAAAAGTATTTGACAAGTCTTTTAACTCTACCAGATTTATTTCCACAAATTATTACGGTTATTTGCAAAGAAGAATGCCGGCTGTATTTAAAAAGCAGGAATTATTCTTGTATGCACCCTCAGGTTGCCAAATTTGGTGACAAGTTTCTCGCCAAAAAAGTTTGCCGAGAAACTCCATGGTGCCATATTACTATCTAAATTTTTTGTCTACATTTCAAGCATAATTCAAAAATCAACAATAACAACAGAAATTCATACTAAAAAACAATGAACATAACATTCTACAAAATAAAAACAATAAAATAAAATGCACTTCCCATAATGGGAAGCTTCTTCGGACAGCAGTACGTAGCTTTAACATGCCACCACGTACTCTCTATGGTATTTGTATCGCAGCCAGACTCGCTATCCACAAAATTCATACTATGGTTCACAAATAAATGTTCAAAACCTTTTCATAAATCCTTGTAAGATTTCCAGCCATCCGAAAAAATAGTTGTACAAGGCTCAATCCATTCTTTAATACATTGCATCAGCGGATCCTTATTTCTATCATGCACAGCCACTAAAAATAATCTCCCAGACCCTCTTGCAACCACGTCTCTCGTTGCAACATATGCCATTTCAAAAAACGCATAAAACGAACCAATGAGCGACTAAACCACTTCAGCAAAAGAGTTTTCAACGTCAAAAAAGTTGCCGTACAACATGCAATTGTGGCAAAAACCAGCGCAGAATACATATCGACGCATTTGGTGATCTTAGAGCGCATGTAAGAGTAGAGCCAAAAAGTATTTTTTTAATAACTACATTGCTTTTAATAATGCTATTTTTAAACAAATTAATGGTACCTCAATGGGGACCAGCTCTAGTTCAGCGATCTGTAATGTGTACCTTTTCAACAAGAAATTTCATTTTCAACAGCAGAGGCCCACCAGCGGCCGAGCGGTAAAGTCGCTGAACACTGGTAGTTCGGTCCGAGGTTCGAATCCCGCGAACGGGCTGGCTACATGGGCGTTTTCGTGGTTTTCCCCATGTGTAACGTGTATACGAGCCAGTTTCCCTTAGAATGTCCTCCACAAAGGCATCCCTTCCCTTAGACAGATAGCCCTCGAGGCTTTGCCATAATCACACGCACATTTTCAACAATTATCTCAAGTACAACATTGATATTACTCTAACATACACAGATACGTGGATGTTATTATTGCTGTCAACAACTTCAATAAAATATAATTTGATCATATTTATTCTTCATGTTTGAAATTCAATAAAACTAACTTTCAACAAGGAGATAATTATTACCTTGATTTGCAAATTATCAATTTTAAAGATATCAAAATTTACAATAAAAGAAGAGATTTCGATTTCCCTACTATTAAACTCATCCATTAGAACTCCAGTATCTCAAAAGGAGTAATTCTAAATACCGTACATACTGAGCTCCTTAGAATAAAAATATTTGCAACAAAGTTGAATACTTACAAGAACAAAAAATTAATTCTATAGTCAAAATTCTCTTAGAGAATAAAACACCTCTATTCAAAATTTCTATAACTCTGAATAAAGCTGTTATTAACTACTTTTTAAAAATTTCTCATCTATAGTGATATAATAATTATTACTTAAACCTTAATAGTTGGATGGCTACAATAAGAAATTTAATGTAATTATGTACAAAGATTTTGTTTCTTTTTCTTTTCAATTATTAGTGTTTTTTTCTACTATTTTATTAATTTATTACTGGCAAATTTTCTTACTTTTACTTAAAAAAAATGTGGCCTTTTAGTTTCAAAGATGTTTTGTCCCCTTATTACGTGAAAACTTTTTTTTTTTCTATTACTTTATCTTTTTTAACACATTTTTTCTTTTCCTCAACTTTGAGCCAGTATTATGTTTACGTTTTAAGATTGTACAGAAGACAGCATCTTTTAGAGTTTCTTAATGCCGCCACTTTGAACTTCAAGGATCACCTTTTTCCGTGGTAATAATTTTCACGACCGCACCCACAATTGACACACTCGCATACAAGTTTAACAAGATAGGATTTTTTGAACATATGTTACTTTGTTATGATATTGGACACTTATCGCATACTTTTTCCAATAGCTACCATCTTCAGCTTCTTCAGAAATTAATTCTGTAAGAAGCTCAGTGTGGTCATCAGAAGGATTAGTGGTTGATCTTTACAATATGGTAACTGGTAGTTTGGCGACATTTTGGAGGTGATAAAGGTTACTACCTGGGACTTTGGTAATAATGTGAGCAGTACTCAGTTTCAATTACGCATTATTTTGCGTGAGGGAAATGAGAGATCGTGGGATATGTCATGTGATATTAATGGACGAATTACGGTTCTTTAATCGGGAAAAAATGTGGAAATTTTGTATTTAGCTTTATTCTGTGTTGTGTGAAACAGTGTTGTTTAATTTTTGGATCCCATGGCCCTAACTAAAGTGAATTCGAAATGGGTATTTAGGCATTGTGATAAAGAGAAGTTTGCTTTTTATTTAGCGGAGGAAGTGTGGAGGAAGAATTTGCAGAAAAAAATCTTTCAATAATTTTATTGAATGAATTAGAAAAGTGTATCCGCCACGTAATCAAGATTGTGAAGAAGATTAGGTAAGTTAGTATTTTTAATTATTTGAGGATATTATATAAATACTTTTTCGCGATCAGGTAATTTCATATATGTTCTTTTAACCGGGTTTAAAGATTGAGAAAATTGTTATGTATTTTTGTGAAATTTTTCTAATTTATGAGAAAAAAGCAGTGTAAATGGATATCGTGAAGAGTGTGCGCAATGCCATTTTTGTGCAATTCTGGGATGTTTTTTTAAGTAAAAATAAGTCGACGTGTACATGGTTTAGTGATATTTTTATTAAATGATAGTTATTTTGTGAAATTTTATGTTTGTAGGAATTTGGTATACGTTTAAGTTGAAAATAAACGTGCATGGAAATAATTTAAATATTGATACTAAGTATTTGTAATGCTTGCGGTATGAATTCGTTGGTGACGTGTATAATGTAATAGATGATTTAGAGGTAAAAGTTTTTGGATATTTTTTATATTTTATATGTGGAAATGTTCATATTTGTAAGGGTAAATACTTTTTGCGATCAGGTAATTTCATATATGTTCTTTTTACCGGGTTTAAAGATCGAGAAAATTGTCATGTATTTTCGTGAAAATTTTTCTAATTTATGAGAAAAAAGCAGTGTACATGGATATAGTGAAGAGTGTGCGCAATGCCATTTTTTGTGCAATTCTGGGATGTTTTTTTAAGTAAAAAATAAGTCGCAGTGTACATGGTTTATGTGTATGTGTTATTTTGAAAAACGCGTAAGGAGTATGGGTATTGTGCACTTTTTCCCAATTTGCAGTGAAATATTTGTCATGATTAAGCAGTTTTGTTGATAAAATTTCTAGCATAAGTGTAATTCGGCTAGTAGATTGTTGGAAGAAGTGTTCAGTAGATAAAAAGAAAAGAAACATGTCTTTACTTCGTGAAGACAAAATGGCGGCGGGAAAAAAAAATAGAAGGTTGCTGTAGGAGAGTTGGTCGCCAAATTTTCGCCAAAAAAACGCCAAGTTACCATAATGTAAAGATCAACCGGATTAGTAAATTTTCATTTGAAGGACGTCATATGATTTCAGCAAGTGTGCATTTTTGTAATTTTGTATTTCATAGGTTCTTTCAATTTTTTTTTTTATTGGACTTTCAGTTGCCGAAATAGGCTCTGCTTTTATTTTTATTATTTATGCAATCCTTTATGAAAAGTTATTCATTTTCTTGAAATTAAAAATTTAGTTAAAATAATTGGGGACTGCCCATTTTTAGAATATTGCTTAAATGGCTATTTGTTTTGAAGTATACTTACATTGCAATCTATCTTTATATTGGAATTTCAGATTTCCATATAATATTTTTAGACCAGTTTGGTTTTTTCCGAATGGTCATTTTACAATATATAATTTTTTTTTTTTTAGTTAATTTGAAACAATGCTATGTTTTATTCTTTTTCCAAGTGTTTCAAAGAAGTGCACGGAAATTCCTGGTACATTTGAGATTCACTTTTTATGGTTTTATATGAGTTTTTATGTAATATAAACCTCTATCAACCTCTTGAGAGGACTTTCAGCTCACCCCATATTTAGAGTGTCCCCATGCCACACGGACACTGCATTTACAAACATCTATGCCTTCTCTGGGATTCGAACTTGGGCTCTTTGGCACGGCAGTCCAGCGATGCTAACCACTATACCAGTTGGGGGGCATCATAGTTATAGTAATATTAATCCATGCATTACTGTATAAATAATGAAGATATGTCTTTTTATGATAGCTGAATTTATGCTTTGGAAAAACTAAGAAGGAAAAGATATCCAAGTATAAACATTGTTTGGTGGATCATTAATTTCTTTAATTACTGCCATTTACTTATGGTGTAAGAAATCAATACCTATTGAGTTTTGCAAATGAAATTTACTTCAGGTTAATTACACAACAAAAATTGATTGGAATAATTGTATAAGTAAGAGTTCTTGTTACTGCTCCTGTTCATTTCATTTTGTGTAGTATCAAAATGCATGGCATGGCTTTAATAGAAAAATACTCGGTACGCTTTCTTTGGTGTACATTCATTAGTAAAATCACTTTATGTGTGGTTCTCATCAAAAGAAAGTCGCTAAATACGGTTTTATAGATTTTCAGTCTGCATTAATGGGTATTAGACAAACTATTTGGTGAAGCATTTTTGGTATTGATAGTATTGTTGATGGCAAAGTACCCTTTATTAATGTATTTTCTATTTTTAATTATTTTATGTTTTGTTTGATAAAAGCAGCATTTCAATTTGCAGTTAATTTTTTGTGTGTTGAGTAATGTATTTTGCATAAAATATGAATATGTTTTCATCATTTTAGGCAGAAAGAATTTTGAATAGAATTGGTGTAAAGAATGTTCAGGTAAGTTTTTTGTCAATTGTTTTTAAAACTAGTAATCTTTAGTGTTTCTTAAATCTACAATATTTTATTGTGTTTGAAGGATTCATATAAATAAGAGTAATCAATAAATAATTATAGAATTAATTAAAAAAAAGACTTAAAATATCTCTGTGGTTAAAACTCATAGCATCAATAAAAATGAAATGGTACTATCCGTTTTGAGGACCGTAAAAAAATTGCAGCGAAAATGTATGCGCAAAAGCGCCAAATCTAGCGTATGCGCTGATTTCAGATTGCATAAGTTTATATAGTTCTATATTTCTTAAGACACCATTGAAATACTAGTTTAATTTTTAAATCCTTCTTTTGATATCATATGGATTTAACAATTTGGAAATTGCCCATGATGAAAAGTTGGCAATAGAGTTTTGGGTAAAGTGCAGAATCACCCCCTGCTTGACGCGTTTTTAACAATTGCATCTCATCCCAGTGCTTTCCCTAAATCATAAACTTCTAATCCCTTAATTTTGCCGCTCGGTGCTTCCCCAAATTCTAAAAATTTTGTCTTTCCTAAATTTTGCCATCCGGTGGCGAAATATTCTGCCGCCGCCTCTGGGTTTATGGTGAATAACATGTCAGTTATTCTTAATTAAAATAGCACTAAATGTAATCTTTTGGCCTATGAGTTTCATTAAAAAAAAATCTATTTTTAGCATATGAAAAGAAATTGTTGAATTTTTCCTCGTCAACATTTTTACAGCATTTAAAAATCTATAATCATAGCCAAGTGTAATGTTAGCATAATAGGCTGCCATACTCTTGTTATTCAATTACTAATATAAAATCCTTCAGGGAATCATCATCTTGGTGAGAGGGTGTCACGATCCTGGAGGCCAGTGATTTATCATCTTTTCCGTCTCCTCTCCTCTGAGCTGATACTTTTCTCCTTCTATTCTTCCTTGTGGTTATCCTCTTCGGAGTTTGGGACTCATCATAAAAAACTGGAGCAGCCCTTGTCTCTAAGTTTCGAGTGGCGAGAAAAACTGCCCACATGTTTGCCGTGCGGGGAGACTCGTGTCGCTGGAAAAGAGGGTCCTGGTAGTTGAGAGGCAGGGTACTGTCACCAACACACTGCTTTGGCCTCTGCTTCAGCTAAACGTATAGCACCTTTTCGTCCTCACGGGTTTCAATCGGCTGGTCACTAGTCCTTGTGTCAGTGGCTTGGGGATAAGGTGTTGGGAGTACCTGCTTTCGGGAAAGCCGACTGTGGGGCTTCGTTTTGCGTATAGGTCTGGCTAGCCCTAACACAGGAATCTGTGTTCCCTTGTTGGGCTCTGTGGTGGGGGGCGGTCGGACCTGAAACTTTATTCCTCTCAAATATGGCATATTCTAATATATACATAATAAAAGACTTTGAAGTCAGTCAAGTAGTTCCATGGACTAATTCTTCTGAACAGTCAACTCTTAAAAAAGTACTTACTGTGTCGGATGTGACAATAGTCTACGTTTCCTTGTAGTATCAAGCCCTTTTGGCGAAATGCAAAAGATATCTCCATTCATAATTAACAAGTATATTCAATCTTCGATAGGTGAACCAAGAAACATAAAACGTCTTCGGTCTGGAGACTTGCTTATCGACACAACTTCGGCCATACAGTCTGTCTCCCTTCTTCGACTAACCAAGCTCAGGCAAATTGATGTCATCGTATCTGCGCATAAAACACTTAACTATTGTAGGGGCATAAATTTGGAATTTTACCTTCTGTCTGTTTCCGAAGAAAAGTTAGTTTCCGAGCTTGCAGATCAAAAAGTGTGTGGTGCCAGGCGGATCAAGATGCATAAAGAAGGTTAATTGATAGACACAAAACATGTGATCCTGACCTTCAAGTCGCGTGATCTGCCTAAGAATATTAAGGCTGGATACTTCAATTGTCCTGTACGCCCATATATCCCAAACCCGATGCAATGCTTCCAGTGCTGCCTCCAGATTGGTGCTGTCTTATCATATGTCTTTGTACAAGAAGAGGGTGTACCTCAAGACTGTGTACTCAGTGTTACTTTGTTGACATTAAAAATCAACGCTGTCTTAAAGCAACTTCCTCTCACTGTTTCAGGATCGTTATATGTCGATGATCTGCAGATTAGCTGTCATGGGGCAGATATTGAGACATGTAGAAAGACAACTGCAGATAACTCTAAACCGGATTGAGGACTGGTCAGATAAACAAGATTTCTTGTTTTCGAAGCATAAGACTGTTTGTGTGCACTTCTGCAGGAAGTGAGGTCTCCATCCTTAGCCTGAGTTACAGCTTCATGGATCAGTGATTCCAGTAGAGCCTGAGGTAAAGTTTTTGGGAGTGATGCTCGACCGAAAACTTACCTTCCTCCCTCATGTGTTACGTCTGAGGAAGAAGCATACCAAAATATTGAATCTTCTAAAGGTCTTGGGGAACGCCTCCTGGGGTGCAGAGTGCTGCTCTTTACTCACGTTTACAGAGCACTTGTTCACTCTAGACTAGATGATGGCTCAGTTGTTTATGTATTTGCACGGACATTAGATTTGCTGAAACTAAACCTAGTTCATCATCAGGCACTGCGGATCTGTTCTGGGGTATTCAGGACATCTCCAGTCCAGAGCCTGTATGTTAATTGTTATGAACCAGCCCTCCATTTGTGATGTGAGCAGTTGTCTCTTCTACAGTATTTTAATATATTGTCTCAACCTGACCATCCTAGTAAGCTACATTTGCTTAATGACATGTGTGAACTTCTGCTTCAAGCCCGACCATCTTGTGTTCCTTCCTTTTCCTTAATAGCTTGTTCGTTGATTGAGGAGTATTCCATAACTGATATGTCCACCCAAGCAGTACATCGTCTTGAAATTCCACCTTGGGAGGATGCGGGAATCAAGCTCCTTCATGTTTTCCAGCGCCATAATAAGCAGAACACTTGCGATATAAACAACTCTTCTTTAACCACAGATATGAATATAGCAGTCATGTGGCCGTAGATACAGATGGATCAAAAACAGCTTACCATGTTGGAGCAGGATTTGTTGTGGGTGACCACATGGAGGGCAGATGCTTGCACTACGCTTGCTCGGCTTTGACATCTGAGCTGACTGCCATATATTATGCACTTAATTACATATCAAAGCTACACCAGAAAAAGTTCATATTTTATACAGACTCGTACAGTGCATTGAAAGCCTTAGAAACTTTTTCCAACACTTGCAATTCTGTAGTTGTTGAAGTTTTAAAATTAAATCTAAGCTTACAGTTGCTTGGATATCAGGTTCTGTACTGCTGGGTTCCTGGACATGTAGGGATCAAGGGAAATAAGCTCACAGATATCACAGCTAAGTCTGCTGTTGATCTGTGCAGCCAGCATGTTCCTCTGATGGATATTAAAAACGTTATCAAGGGAAAAGTCCTAAAGAAGTGGCAGCTGCTGTGGGATGCTCAAGTTAACAATAAGCTTAAAACCGTAAAACCTCTAGTTGAATACTGGGGCTCGATAGGAAACCGAAGGGAGAATGTTATTCTAACTCATCTTCGTATTGGTCACTCTCGTGTAACGCATAGTTACCTTTTTTGAAGGCTGAGAGTGAGCCTGTTTGTTCCTACTGTGATAATATTCTTACAGTACGTCATATTTTAACTGATTGTCCATATTTTAACTCGCTTAGATTGAAGTATTTTAACAATTCTGACTTGCCTCTTGACCGTATAATTGGGAAAGAGGCAAATTCTAAATTATTTCAGTACTTCAAGGAGAGTGGTTTTGTTATTTAAGTTGTTTTTCTTTTGATGAGTATTTGGATTTTAGTGCTATAAATTTTATTCCATATCATATTTTATGATTTCATACATGCATCACATCTTATGTCATTACCCAATTCAAGAGTTACTTCATCTTAATTTTTACCATTTTTATTGCCTCTTTTTATTTTAGAAGTGTATTCTTGTTTTAAACTTGTGATTGCATAGAATTTATTTGTCGATGTGACCGCTTGTTTTTTATTATCATGTGTCTGGCGCTAATAACCTGTTCAGGTTGTAAAAAAGTTTAGACATCACTGCACGAGTTATTACTGAAGCTGTCATGTATTGATAAACATGCGGTGACGAAAGCAAAATATAATAAATTATGACTCGCCAGGTCGGCGTCAGGGATATAAAATAGGTGAATGTTTCGGTAAGCGTGGCGAACAGCGGTAAATGGAACGGAATGTTTAAGATGTATGCCAAGCAGATACTCAGCTATGGAATCAAATTATTAATCTCACAAATTTATGCTTACATGATTGTTTTTCCATAACAAGGTATTTTTTTTAGTGCCTAAGTGAAATTAAGAATTGGAATTTTTAAGTGAAAATCTCCATATGTTTTATTATGGAAGAAAAAATCAAATGCACATGCGTAAAGCATACAAAAAAATAAATAAAATAAAATAAATAAATAAATGTTTGTGGCTATGAGGCCCGGATTTTAGATCATTCCGGATAATGGATGTCCGGATTTCGGACTTTGTACTTCATAAGTATAGGAACTGGGAGAACGCAGTAAAAGTTAGATTTCATTTTTTGTCCAAAATTATGCATTTTTTTAATTTGACATTGCCCAAACATAAATTTTTTATTATTTTATATATACACACATAAACTTTGGGTACTGTCGATTGCAATAAAAATGGTAGGTACAACTAGATGTTACAGCAGTCTCACATACGAAATTTTAATGTTCTACGACTGATTGTTTTTAAATTATGCAAGACATATGGTTATCACAAAAAAAAAAAAAAAAAAAAAAAAAAAAAAAAAAATTCATTTTGAATCCATTGTTCATTTTGTTTTGGTGGAGAAAATTTGGGGAAATGAAGGACGTCTGCCTCTTCATTTCCCCAAATGTTCACATGTGAGGGAATCCACTGAATGTGCATATCACAAGAGGACGAGACTTGGGTAAAAGTATATTTAAGGGTACCCCTTGGTGATTTTTAACAGTACATGGATACTGAGT